TTTCCTTCGCATGCTCGTAGGTACCCTGAACAGCCCTCAAAACTGATCCAATTACGCCAGGTCTCTCTTGTTGCTGTGGATGGACGTTCATCTCCTCCTTATATACGGCTGTACCTTCATATTCTCTCCCTCGATTAATGTCTCTAAGATCGTCCGCCGCTAGCCTCGAGGCTGCCTCCGCTCTCTCCTCCTTCGCCTGCCTCGAAGCCATCGATCTTCACTGATAAAATTCAACCTCGAAACTAAAACTTTTCCCTGGTTATGTTTTTGGGTGGTGTGTATACAGGAATTCTATATACGATCTGCTTTAAACTTCAGAAACTGACACGTGAATGCGAAAGCTCTGAGGGGCTGCCACTTGTCATTGGGCAGCATAAATGAACACGTGGCAGCCATGCTTAACAGTGATGATGACACGTAATATGCCCTGTCTTATTCCCAACTTTTATACGAATACTAGCTAAGGAGTTCTCGAGGCTAGATGTTGACTAAACATGGTTACACGCTGCTGACTTGGCTGCTGCTTTTGCGTCCACGTGTCATGCTTAGCTGCCACGTGTGGATGATTGACCTAACTGTTTCGACCATCCGTATTGAGAAGATTAATGGAGAATTTTTTCTGAGATATTGAGGAGATTAATTAATTAAGTCAAAGCTGTTACTGTTAAGTAGCAGCGGTAGTTTGTTTTGAAGGTTTGAAGGCAACTGATATATAGCATAATTTTTTTTTCAATTATTAGGAATCAACTAATAGTTGCAAAGGCCTTTAACAGTTGCATTTTTTAATAGTTATGCTGAATAATTTGTTGGATCTAAAATCATTTGTGGTTTAATTAATTATTTGTTTATTAACTTATATGCCACTAACTTAATCCATCGAAATCTTCTTAGCAGGTTCAGGGAGTGTTTTAAATTTCTTCTAATGCAAAATCTCAACAACCTGCAACAATGCTTGTTTTCTCCGTCATCTTGAAAATCAGAAGGGTTCTCAAATTAAGGACTTGTTTGGTACAACGGTTAAAATTTAACAGATAGCGAATAGTGGATAGCGATAACAGGTAACGGGTGACGGTTAGCATATAGCAAATGGTGAATAGCAGAAAGTGGGTAACGGACGATAAACAGTGGATTCGATAAATATAACTGTTTGGTTATACAATAATTAGTGGTTGTTATTTAACATTAAATGACTAATAA